TTCCAGGAATCTCACACTAAAAACGGAGCATCGCCTACACGGCAGAGAAGTCCCTCGGGTGAGCGCGCCTATTCCTGTTCAGAGTGCGGAAAATGTTTTGCTGTCAGAGCAAATGTTCTGAGACACCGGAAAATTCACAAAGTTGAGCGTGCGGTTTCCTGTTTAGGCTGTGGGAAGTGTTTTACACTGAAAGTCTCCCTCCTTGCATACCAGAGAAGACGCACAGGAGACCTTCCTTTTTTGTGTTCAGACTGTGAGAAATGTTTAATCCAGGAAGCAAACTTTGTTAGACAACAGAGAGTTCACACAGGTGAGTGGCCCTATTTGTGTTCTTTGTGCGGGAGATGTTTCACCGTGAAAGGAATTTTTGTTAGACACCAGAGAATGAAAGCAAGCAAATTCTCTGGTTCAGAGTGCAGGATAAGAGCCTCCCTTTTCCTGCTCAGAGTGCAAGAAATATTTTTCTGACATGAGGTTTTCATAGACGGATATCACATGGGTGAGCGTCCCTAGTCATGTTCAGTGTGAGGGAAATGTTTCACTGAGAAACAGGCACTTCTTATACACATCACGGAGAACCCCCGCTCCATTCAGAGTGCGGGAAAAGTTTTGCAGCTAGGGGAGCTGTCAGGAAATGTAGTGTGCATGGTGGTGGGAGAGCTGTTTGAGTGTAGATGGTGGATTCTCTCACATCACCGGGTAAGAGGAGAGAGCAGTACGGAGGCTCCGCCTACATCCCCCATCATCTGATACACACATAGAAACAATGTATTCAGTCAGTGTGTGTGTTTCCTACAGATGGATCCAGTAAGAGGAACCCACCAGAGAGATGTCCCCGCCCCCTGTACTCCCGGGATTCCACCCAGGAAGATCTCACCGTCCCCCACCATGATCAGGTAGGTGGGACTGAGAATGCAGACCCAAAAAAATATGTTGACCTATGAGAGGACATTCTTCATATGTTCTATCATCTTGGGGGTTTAGGGTGAAGAAATGAAAGACGTCAAAGTTGAGGTTAAAGAGGAAGAAGAAGAAGAGACGTTGGCGAGTGGAGATCAGAAGTCTATGGAGGAAGGAGGTCCTCTCTCTTCCCGGGATTCCACAGGACATGATCAGGTAGGTGGGACTTGGCCAGAAGACCTCCAAATGGTTTCTATGAGATGACCTTCTTCTATGGAATCTCTGGAGGTCGGACTCCATGGACTTGGGTCTTTTTTTCGACCCGGCTACGTAACTAATTATTACCGGTATCTGATCCAGATGTTTTATTTTATCATTTTCGGGGTTTAGGATGAAGAACTGGAAGACATGAAAGTTGAGGTGAAAGAGGAAGAAGAAGAGACGTTGGTGGGAGGAGCTCAGCGGTCTATAGAGGAGGGGGAGATGATGGTGAAGAGTGAACAGAAGGAATCTTCTCTACACACGGACACAAGTAAGTCATAAAGACTCAATGTAGATGATGAACAGCTGGAGCCCAACCTACGGACGTGGTCAGGTGTGACTATACACGGCCTGGCCAGAAAGGAAGTCACCCCCCTGGATGTAGCTCAGCATGTAGTTGCGAGTCTTCCATTGGATGATTCCTGCCGTGATTAATATGTTTCATCCGGCAACAAGTTCTCTAACCAGAAATGATGCCGTGAGGAGCTTCTCATGTCTTAAACAATCGTGTCGGAAGACAGAACCTCGGGTCGTGGACAAGATGGAGCTCTGTTTCAGAAGGATCCAAAATTCTTGTCCGGCATCAACCAACAAGATTGTTGAAACTACTAAAATTCGTTTGAGAACTATCAAACGCATTATTAGAACCGGGAAGGATAGTGGTCAACCATCGTCTTCCAGGAAGGATAGTGGTCAACCGTCGTCTTCCAGGAAGGATAGTGGTCAACCGTCGTCTTCCAGGAAGGATAGTGGTCAACCGTTGTCTTCCAGGAAGGATAGTGGTCAACCATCGCCTTCAGGAAGGATAGTGGTCAAGCATCGTCTTCCAGGAAGGATAGTGGTCAACCGTCGTCTTCCAGGAAGGATAGTGGTGAACCGTCGTCTTCCAGGAAGGATAGTGGTGAACCGTCATCTTCCAGGAAGGATAGTGGTGAACCGTCATCTTCCAGGAAGGATAGTGGTGAACCGTCATCTTCCAGGAAGGATAGTGGTGAACCGTCATCTTCCAGGAAGGATAGTGGTGAACCGTCATCTTCCAGGAAGGATAGTGGTGAACCGTCATCTTCCAGGAAGGATAGTGGTGAACCGTCATCTTCCAGGAAGGATAGTGGTGAACCGTCATCTTCCAGGAAGGATAGTGGTGAACCGTCATCTTCCAGGAAGGATAGTGGTGAACCGTCATCTTCCAGGAAGGATAGTGGTGAACCGTCATCTTCCAGGAAGGATAGTGGTGAACCGTCATCTTCCAGGAAGGATAGTGGTGGACCGTCATCTTCCAGGAAGGATAGTGGTGAACCGTCATCTTCCAGGAAGGATAGTGATCAACCGTCATCTTTGAGGAAGGATAGTAGTCAACCGTCATCTTCCAGGAAGGATAGTGATCAACCGTCATCTTTGAGGAAGGATAGTGGTCAACCGTCATCTTCCAGGAAGGATAATGGTCAACCGTTGTCTTCCAGGAAGGATAGTGGTGAACTTTTATCTTCCAGGAAGAAATGTGGTCAAAAAAAAATCTTGAATGACCACCACGGTCATTCACGATTCGGTGAAACGTTCGGTGAAATCAAATAGATAATTCAGCAGAACTCGGGCTCATGTATAATAGTGAAAGTGAAAGCATTTCCGCACGCACAATGTGAAGAGAACTCGAGGGATCGGACTAAACCGCTGTGTAGCCTTCAGAAGACCTCATCGGGGGGCCAATCAGAAAAAAGTCTTCGGTTTGCTGAGGACCATAAAGATTGGACTCCGGAGCAATGGAGAAAGGTCATGTGGTCTGATGAGTCCAGATTTACCTTGTTCTGGAGTGATGGGCACATCATGACTAGTGCCTACCGTACAAGCCTGGGGGGAGGGGCAGTGTTATGATCTGGGGTGGCTTCAGTTGGTCAGGTCTAGGTGGTTCAGCAACGTTACGTGCCCAACAATTGAGGTTCAGCGGCCTCCCTGGATATACGGAATGACCAGGTTGTTCCATCAATGGATTGTAACCCATAAACCCTAGCTCACATCACCGGGTAAGAGGAGAGAGCAGTACGGAGGCTCCGCCTACATCCCCCATCATCTGATACACACATAGAAACAATGTATTCAGTCAGTGTGTGTGTTTCCTACAGATGGATCCAGTAAGAGGAACCCACCAGAGAGATGTCCCCGCCCCCTGTACCCACCATGAGAGATGTCCCCGCCCCCTGTATTCCCGGGATCCCACCCGGGAAGATCTCACCATCCCCCACCATGATCAGGTAGGTGGGACCTAACGAAACAATTCCCAAAACCAAGAGGACATTCTTCTCTGTAATCCCGTGTTCCTCATATCATCTTGGGGGTTTAGGGTGAAGAAATGAAAGTTGAGGTCAAAGAGGAAGAAGAAGAGACGTTGGTGAGTGGAGATCAGCAGTCTATGGAGGAAGGAGGTCCTCTCAGTTCCCGGGATTCCACAGGACATGATCAGGTAGGTGGGACTTGGCCAGAAGAACTCAAAATGGTTTCTATGAGATGAACTTCTTCTATGGAATCTCTGGAGGTCGAGCTGGATGGACTTCTGTCTTTTTTCGACCCGGCTACGTAACTAATTATTACCGGTATCTGATCCAGATGTTTTATTTTATCATCTTTGGGGTTTTAGGGTGAAGAACTGAAAGATATCAAAGTTGAGGTTAAAGAGGAAGAAGAAGAGACGTTGGTGGGAGGAGCTCAGCAGTCTACGGAGGAGGAGGAGATGATGGTGAAGAGTGAACAGGAGGAATCTTCTCTACGTACGGACACAAGTAAGTCATGGACCTTTAGTAATGCCAGGGGCTTGAAGACAAATATATCTACGTCCTACTGTACACCATATGAAGGTCCATCTCCATTCCTCAATATAACGTCATGTGACCAACAAATGAGGAGGAGATACTGTACACCATATGAAGGTCCATCTCCATCCCCCCAATATAATGTCATGTGACCTACAAATGAGGAGGAGATACTGTACACCATATGAAGGTCCATCTCCATCCCCCCAATATAACGTCATGTGACCAACAAATGAGGAGGAGATACTGTACACCATATGAAGGTCCATCTCCATTCCTCAATATAACGTCATGTGACCAACAAATGAGGAGGAGATACTGTACACCATATGAAGGTCCATCTCCATTCCTCAATATAACGTCATGTGACCAACAAATGAGGAGGAGATACTGTACACCATATGAAGGTCCATCTCTCTTCTTCTCCATAGAACTATTTTGCCCAGTGTGTCAGAGTTGTTTTGGGTGTTTTATCCTTTAACTGATTTGTTTTTACATGTCGTGTTACGTTGTACCCAATTCCACGCCAGAGCTCTGTGATGACTTCTAGACCAACATACATGACTCTGATTACTGACGTGTGTAATGATTTCTCTCCAGCAGATGGATGTGATGTCAGGAATACCTCGGAGAGACATCTTATATTGTCTGCTGGTTGTAAGTCAGAAGATAATGTCATCACACAGGATTCTCCAGGAGTGAATCCAAACACACAAAATATACATCACAGACCTCACTGCTCGGAGACATCAATGGATCCCTCTGATCAGGGTGAATCTTCTGATCATTCACATACTATGACTGGAAATAACCATCTAAGATCTCACACTGCAAGAGATCCATCTAATCCCAAGAGGTCCTCCTCACCCCATGAAGGAGATCACAGAGGTGACAATCTTTTCTCACATGCAGTGTGTGGGAAATCTTTAATTGAAAACAAAAACCTTCTTAGACACCAAAGTATGAACATGGATGAGCGACCCTATTCATGTCCAGCGTGTGGAAAATGTTTCACTGAGAAAGCGGACTGTGTTAAACACCAGAAGATTCACACGGGGGAGCGTCCTCATTCATGTTCAGAGTGCGGGAAATCATTCATTCATAAAGGACACCTTGTTAAACACCAGAAAATTCACACCGGTGAGCGTCCCTATTCGTGTTCAGAGTGCGGGAAATCATTCACTGAGAAAGGAGCCCTTGTTCTACACCAGAGAATTCACACGGGCGAGCGTCCTTATTCGTGTGCAGAGTGCGGGAAATGTTTCATTCAGCGAATACACCTTATTATACACCAGAGAAGTCACACCGGTGAGCGTCCTCATTCATGTGCAGAGTGCGGGGAATCTTTCACTGAGAAGGAAGTCCTTGTTAAACACCAGAGAAGTCACACGGGTGAGCGTCCTTATTCATGTTCAGAGTGCGGGAAAAGTTTCACTCGGAAAGCAAACCTTGTTATACACCAGAGAACTCACACTGGTGAGCGTCCTTATGCATGTTCAGAGTGCGGGAAATCATTCAATTATAAAGGAGAACTTGTTATACACCAGAGAATTCACACGGGTGAGCGTCCTTATTCATGTTCAGAGTGCGGGAAATCATTCATTTGTAAAGGAGTCCTCGTTAAACACCAGAGAAGTCACACGGGTGAGCGTCCTTATTCATGTTCAGAGTGCAGAAAATCATTCATTTGTAAAGCAGTCCTCGTTAAACACCAGAAAGTTCACACGGGGGAGCGCCCTCATTCATGTTCGGAGTGCGGGAAATCATACATTCATAAAGGAGACCTTGTTCACCACATGAGAAGTCACACGGGTGAGCGTAATTATTCACGTTGAGACTGCAGCAAATCTTCCACCGAGAAACATACTGCGGAGCGTCCTCACTGAGTGCGGGAAATGATTAATTCATCAAGGAAACCTTGTTACACACCGGAGAAGTCACACGGGTGAGCGTCCTCATTCATGTTCAGAGTGCGGGAAATGTTTCACTAAGAAAGGAGCCCTTGTTACACACCGGAGAAGTCACACGGGTGAGCGTCCTCATTCATGTTCAGAGTGCGGGAAATGTTTCACCGAGAAACGAGCTGCGGAGCGTCCTCACTGAGTGCGGGAAATGATTAATTCATCAAGGAAACCTTGTTACACACCGGAGAAGTCACACAGGTGAGCGTCCTCATTCATGTTCAGAGTGCGGGAAATGTTTCACTAAGAAAGGAGCCCTTGTTACACACCGGAGAAGTCACACGGGTGAGCGTCCTCATTCATGTTCAGAGTGCGGGAAATCTTCCACCGAGAAACATACTGCGGAGCGTCCTCACTGAGTGCGGGAAATGATTAATTCATCAAGGAAACCTTGTTACACACCGGAGAAGTCACACGGGTGAGCGTCCTCATTCATGTTCAGAGTGCGGGAAATGTTTCACTAAGAAAGGAGCCCTTGTTACACACCGGAGAAGTCACACGGGTGAGCGTCCTCATTCATGTTCAGAGTGCGGGAAATGTTTCACTAAGAAAGGAGCCCTTGTTACACACCGGAGAAGTCACACGGGTGAGCGTCCTCATTCATGTTCAGAGTGCGGGAAATGTTTCACTAAGAAAGGAGCCCTTGTTACACACCGGAGAAGTCACACGGGTGAGCGTCCTCATTCATGTTCAGAGTGCGGGAAATCTTCCACCGAGAAACATACTGCGGAGCGTCCTCACTGAGTGCGGGAAAAGCAAGTCTAAATAGACAGCGCCAGCTGGTTCTTATGACAAATGTACGATGGCTTTTCTTAGGTGGAACTGTTTAGTGCATAGAACAATTGTAAGAGACTCCATAGAAGTTATTTCTTTAGATAATATTCCGATGGATAATTGATGGTTTGTTCATGTGCTTCCATCTAGTGACCCTTTTTGGTAATGCATATGTTTTTCTATATTCCTTTCCCCACGCGATGACACATTTCCTCTGTATGTATGCCCCACCCTTCTTCTTGTTGGTCAGTACTTCCTGTGTCATGGCCACAGCTAACAGCCACATGTAAGAAAGACACATGTACTCTGCATAGTACGCTAGGAAAAGCATCATCTTTTGACCGCACAATAGTGAAACCATTCATTCTGCTGTTCCTGTCACCTGCTGTAACCCTGATGTTCAGAATAAAGCACCTTTGTGGATGAAATGGTATTTGGTGAGTTCACCCCCGCCGTGCTTCCCGGGCTCCGTTGCCCCTCCTAC